GGCGTAGCAGTGGCGATACCTGTGGTCTGGTCGGCGCTGATTGGACGCCCCGAGCGCCACTCTGTCACTCGCTTCTGGGCTCGTCTGATCCGGCCCTGTTTGAGGCCCCGAAGCAGTCGTGGCTTATTCTCATGTACTGTCCACGTGGAGCACGGCCGCCGACGCGTCGGCTGGCGGCGCCACCGCCAGCGCCACCGCCTCGCTCGCTCGCCTGCCTCAACTGACCGCTGCACTCGCGCTTTCGGACTCGACGTCTCCGCAGCCGATCGATACACATCGCGCCTTCCTGCGATCAATACGCCACACTCTGCTGTCCCGTCCCGTCCCGTCCCGTCCCGTCCCGTCCTGTTCTGTCCTGTCCTGTCTTGCCTTGCCTTGCGGGCGCCTCGAAGCGAGGCGTGCGACTTGACAGGCGCCCAAGGCCTCAGTCGCCTCGTGATGCCGACAGGCCGACGTGTGTGCGCCTGCGAACGCGAGACTCGGTGCCACATTCCTGTCGGTTAGCCGGCGAGGCGCTTCCTCCCGCGGAGGGCGGGCTTGGCTCGACGATTCGCAGCCGCGACGCGGTCGCCGGGTCGACCCTCCAATTTCCCACTGCACACAACCCTCCGCTGCCCTGGGCCACCTTTTGACCCGTCGTCATGGCCGCCGATCCGATACAGTTGCGCAGGGCGTCGGTGGTCCGTCCGCGCGCCAGTCGGGCGGGCTCGGTGTTCGTCGAGGGGCCGGGCTCGCCGGGGGTCGGTGTCTCGTTGCCGAGCGCATTCGCAGGCGTTGGCAACACGTTGGCCGGCGTCGGCGTGGGCAGTTTCCACTCCTTGGCCGTCGGATCGCAGGCTCAGGCCGTGCTGGGCCGTCGGCCGTCGATGCTGCAGAAATTCTGCGGCGAGATCGAGTTCACCGGAATGAACCAGACGGCTCGAGTAAACACGACTTTCTTCACTTTTTTTCTCCTCCCCAGTCTGCATTCGCCTCTCATTTGCCCGTCAAGGATACCGTTGCCAGCGCCAACCATCTGGGAATTTACTCCGACGACATGGCGTCTCTAGGCGCCAGTTTTTCCAGCAAGAGGCTGGCGGAATTTACCTCCTTCGGCCTGCGATTGAGCAGACACGGCGAGTGGGAAGGAAGACGCGGTTGCTAAGGTCGTCGTAGTGATGTTTTGTGTCAAGAGCGTGCATTTCGACGCAACGGTTGGTTTAAGGGAATTCGTGACGTGGTCGCCGAGTGTTGTGTTGTGTTTTGTTGTGTCGTGCGACAGACGCCATCGGAGCGAGAAGCGAATAGCACCGCAAAATGCACAGAAGCGTTGTTTGGCTGCAACGATGGTCACTTTTCGGGCCTGCTGCCGGCCAGCTTGTCTCGTGATTTTGCGATGCTTCTGGCTCTGTTGCGTGGAGTACGGCTTCTCGATCTGGCGGCGTCTGTCGTCGGCGGTACAGACGACAGCTTGGCGCCGGTGAGCTGATGCCTTTTTTGCACAACGCGGCAATCCTTTTTCGGTTTCCGCGGCGGCCACGTCGCGAGCTGCCTACGACCAAGTTTTCCGTCGAAATGGACAGTCATGGAGGAGAGGGACTTGTGCAACTGCAGGCTTCCCGTGCGAGTTGTTGCGTCTGTGAGGTTGGGCGTGTGGCTGCAGCCAGAGGACGAGCCAAAAGCCGCCTCATCCGGGCTGGACCCCTCCCGACCGGATTGGGTTGTCGGCTCGCGAGTGTCAAGGGTCGTTGAGCAAATGGGACTCGATGACATGAATGTGCCTTTTCCTCTGCCGTCGACGAGGTTGTCCATTTTTGGTGTGCCTTATTCAAAAATTACTGGCTCTCTCGAGGGTTACTCATGTAAAAATGAGTAGTGTCGTTGAGTGCATTGCAAAAACACTTGTTTACTCACTCAAAAATCCCACGCCTATATGCAACCTCTGACCCGGTATCCGGTTGCGCTGGCAACTTATGCGTCCGTCTGATTGTGGGAAATCTCAAACGGCATGTGACCAAGTTCCCAGTCAAGAATTGGTGACAATCCCGTCTCATGACTGCTGCCGCCCTCCGGCCGCGTCTGGCGGTGATGCTTGAGCCGGGATTGTCAAGGCTCCAGAAGGGAGTGAAGCGAGCAAAGCTGCTCTGGAATGCACTTACTCACTCTTGCGCATAATTGCGACATTTTGCGGGAAAAGTGGGCTCCACAGAGACCTCTTCATCCTTCGATTCATGCAAAAGCTGGTCAAAGCGTCTCTCGCCCTGTCTGGAGGCAGTGCCGGCGAAATGTGGGGAGGTGTGCCCAAAGGAATGCTTGCTGAAGCAGTCACGGACGACGCGGCATTCAGCGGGCGATCACTGGCTGACCAACTTCGGTGGCCTTGATAACAACCATTTCCACATTGGCATCAATGCTGTATCGACGACTATGTGTCATTAAGGCGTCCTTTGCGATGGACTTGGCCGGTAGAGATGATGACTTCTCGGGTCGTGGTGCGGCTAGGTTGGCTCGCGCATGCAAAGATAAGTTGGGCTTCGAGGAATCTCTTGCTTCATGATTGTTGTGCTTACTTCCATTTCGAGTGAAAGTGTTGGGTGAAGAGATTGGGAGGTCAAATTCACCAGAAGAC